GAATCTCAAAAGCCAGACTCCCAACAGGATTGCTTTCTCAAAAATCGAAGAGGCACCGTTCTCCGAATCTCGAGAGCCAGATCCCCGACAGGATTGCTTGTTCGAAAACCGAAGAACATCGCTCTCCGAACTTCGAGAGCCAGATTTCCTTTGATAAAGCTTGTCTACAATCTTTACACGCAACATCAGCTTTCCAGATACCACATACCATTTTTTCAAAGTGCTCTGACAAAGTTAAAGCACGTGAAGCTTGCAGCTCCCACTACATTGCTACGACCAAGAATGGTAAAGGAATAACATTACTACTTGTTGTTAGAGAAACTCCTATATATGTCGACCTCCATCCTCCATGGACAGGCAGACCTGCAAAAATGCTCAACCCTTCCTCATATCTGAGAGGGCACTCACAACGAAGTCTCTCGAAATACTCAACTTCTTTTCCTCCCGATAATACCTCTGCAAACAAGCCACACCAGAGCAAGAGTATCTCATATCATCAGGGTTAAAAGCAAGAGTATCCCATATCATGCTTTTTCCCTGTCTTTTCCTTTGGCTTTGTTCTTACTTGCAAGACAAGGAGAAAGAGAACAATCAGTCAGCACTTAGAATCAAGCTTCCTGTCAGGAACTGACTACCTGGAACGCCTTGCCTGACAACTTACCTGGCATTGCTCTCGAGTACTCATCTTCAACATCTTATGCTTCCAGAAAAGATACCACATCTGCCTGAGGAACAGATAGGGCAAGTGAGAATGATACAAGGAAGCATGTGGAGACAAGCGCAACAGAACACGTGTCGATTCATCCACTACTTCGTCAACAGCAAAAGTATCCCATATCATCAAGGTTGAACGCACTCTTGATTTGATGGACTTGTTTTGACCCTCAAATTCTTGAGTCGGCCTTACACTCTGTAGGAAACCAGAAAACCCTCTAGCCCAGTTCAAGAATAAGCCTGTGGAAAGTTACTTCTTCAAAAGCGAAAGTATCTCATATCATCTCTTCTCCATTTGCTTCTCCTTATCCTTGTTGTTGTTTACGACACAAGGAGAATGAGAACAATCAACCGGAAGCCGAAGTTGAACCTCTGATCCAGCTTGCTTGCTTGGAAGTCTGATTGCTTACCTTGTCTGTTACCTCTTTCGATAAATCTCCTAGCTTGGCGACTTGGGGGACTCCTACTATAGGGTTTTGTATTGCACTTGACCAAGCCCGAAACTACAAGTAAGCTTCAAGTGAAATTGATACATTACCTTGTGCATCTTCATCGGTTAAAGATACCACCCCTAGATGGAGGAAAAGTACTTCCAGAAAAGATGTCACATCTACGTATGAGACAGATAAGGCAAGTGAAAATGATACCACACTTCGGTACTTAGAAGTTTCGTGATTACTCAATGGCTTGGATCTTGCAAGTCCTCAACTGAGGAGCTTTCCTCACTCGGGAACTTAGGGGAGCACTGTTTGTACCATACTTGACCAATCCCGAAACTACTGAGCACCGGTCAACGTTATATCGTCAAGGACCCATAAGAGTTTCCCTCTAACCAGGAGGCCAATCACAGTGCGACACGTGTCGACATCAGAAGCCAATCATAGCGCGACACATGTCAACATCAGAAGCCAATCACAACACGACACGTGTCAATGTCAGAATGAAACTAGAAACTCTCTTCTATAAATAGAGATCATTCTCTCACAATATTTTCTAATGTCATTTGTACTAAATCATTCACTAGTACTCACAAAATGAGAGCTTGAACCTATGTACTTGTGTAAACCTTTCACAATTAATGAGAACTTCTCTACTCCGTGGATGTAGCCAATCTAGGTGAACCACGTACGTCTTGTGTTTGCTTCCCTATCTCTATCCATTTACATACTTATCCACACTAATGACCGGAGCAATCTAGCGAATGTCACAAACTTAACATTTTCTGTTGTACCAAAGTCATCGTTGTTTTGTGCATCAACATGTTTCATTTAAAAAATAAATAAAATAAAAAACTGAAACCAAACCGAAACCAAACCGAAAAAAAATCAAACCGAATCGAATCGAATCGAATTGAAATTTCGATTCGGTTTTGATTTTGGCAAAAAACCAAACCATTTTAAACCGAACCCAACCCTAATAGAGAGTCATAGTACCGTACTGACTAGAGGCCTAATGTCTTACCAACTAAACCGATAGTGTCATATTGGCTAAACTCCTAATGTCGTAGTGGCTAATCCAATTATACCGATTAACCAAACTCAGTGCAATTCGACAACTTTGACGCCTCCAAACGCATGTCGAACGTAACAACTGGAGCCAAATTCTTGTGCTGTCTACGCGCGTGAGCCAAATAAGGTCATTATCAACCCTCACGCAGATTTGTTGATTTCATCACTTTCCTCTATCAGCCCCGTAACGACTGCGTTTTCTAAAAATTCCCATTTCCCAAATACCTCTTCCCTCCCGACTCCACACCCAAATTCCTCGATCACTAGATCTCCCCTCTCTCTGATCAGATCCAAACTCCGGAGACCAAAACAATGTCGCACTCCGAACGCGACACCGTCCCCCTCCACCCCTCCTCCCAATCCGACATCGACGAGATCGAAAACCTAATCAACGCCAGCGTCCAATCGGGCCCCACCACCGTCCTCCCCGCCAAACCCCCCAGTCCTCCCCGCGCCTCCATTCCCGTCTCATCATCCCCTTTCATCCCATCAAACCTCCCGCCCCCAGCCCCCTCCTCCGCCGCGAAGCAGAAGCCTCCCTCCGTCCCCGCCCCACCTCCCATTCCCTCCGCAACCAACGGCCCCAGTATCTCTCCCTCCGGGTTCGGCTCCCCGCCCAACACCCTAACCGAGCCCGTTTGGGACACCGTGAAGCGCGACTTGTCGAGAATCGTGAGCAATTTGAAGCTTGTGGTGTTCCCCAACCCGTATCGTGAGGACCCGGGAAAGGCCTTGAGGGATTGGGATCTCTGGGGACCTTTCTTCTTCATTGTGTTCTTGGGTCTCACTCTTCCTGGTCTGCATCTGTTAAAAAGGTCAATTGCCCCTTTTCTTTCATTTTTATTATATGTATATATGTGTATATGTATGTTTGGGTTTTCTGAAGATTATGGTTTGTGGGTTTTTCTCATTTTGATTTCAATTGGAATTGTTTGTGAACAGTCTGAGGTTTTTGCTGTTGCTTTTGCTGTGCTTGCTGCTGGTGCTGTGATTCTGACACTGAATGTACTCCTACTGGTAATTACCCACTCTCTCGCGTTCTACTTGTATCGATTTGTTCATGTTGGGTTTTCGAAACCAAGAATTGCGTGTGAATGGGAGATCTATATAACTAAGTGGCCTTTCTTATTTTGTGTGAATGCTCTATCTTATATCAACACTGCTGTACCCTCAAATTCATTATGATGTCAATTATCGTGAGTATCGTAGTAGCTGTAAGTAAATGAAGGGCGAGAGTGAGCTCGGATTGAGTGTATGGAAAACTGATGCATCACTTGGTGAACAATTAGTAGTGATCTATCTACATCTACAACCTAGAGTATTGCAAGAAGTATAGCACGTTACAAGTCTTCTTTATTGTATGTGTTGTATATAGACAGTTAGAGTAATTTTCTTGTGTAGTGTGAGATGCAGCTGTTAGATTGTGAATCATACGGTTTATCAGGGAGAATTATGCACAAACGCCAGAATTTGCGCTTGATTCACATTCTTAAGATATAACAAGCTAGGGTAAGAGATGTTCCTTTAACAAAATGAGTAGATTGAGAAAAGTGTTTTTTTTTGTTGTCAGGGTGGACACATAATATTCTTCCAGAGCCTTAGTCTCCTCGGTTATTGCCTATTTCCTCTGGACGTTGGAGCTCTGATATGTATGGTGAAGGACAATGTGATATTGAAGGTGGTTGTGGTAAGCGTAACACTGGCTTGGAGTTCATGGGCTGCATATCCTTTCATGAGTTCAGCAGTCAACCCCAGGAGAAAAGCCCTTGCACTTTACCCTGTTTTCCTATTGTACGTATCTGTCGGTTTCCTCATTATCGCCATTGATTGACACATCAAAACTAAGCAATGCTGTTAAATAGGACTTTTTGGGGTGCTTCATTTTCTCACTTGTTGCATTGAGTTTTGGTGCTCTGTCTGCCTATATCTTATCTGGTGTATCAAACTTCTTACATGATATTAATTCTATCACGTCTTCATACCTTTCATTACTCCTGTGATCCGATGAGTTCATTCTTGTTCATTGCGAGACATGTAGATGCACTTCATACCAAACAGTGATATATTTTAGAACTTAGCAGCATCATCTTTAAGTTGTTACTTTTTGAAATAAATAGCTATTTGTAAACGTTAGTGTTGGTTACGAAAATCGTCGCTGACCTTGTCACTGGTTCATTGTTGTCCCTGAATCTATTTTTGTTTTCTGTGGTTCTCAAACTCACTCACGTTTGCCGTTTTTGGTCCGTTCCGTGAACTCCGTTTGTTTTTCATTAAACTGGGTGTAAATTTGAAAATTCAATTCACAACCTTAAAAACTAAATAACATAAAAATTGAAATAAAATTTTCTTATTCTTTTTCGTTTTAACAAATTTGTTCGATGCATAAAAGTCCTAATCACCCCTATATTTGATAGAAAATACATGGAGTTGACGGAATGTGGATTACCATAGTAGTTAACGTAAACTATTATTACTCGTTTTTTATGCAAATTATTATTGTTATTCGCTGTGGAGGTCGTAAACTATCAATCGTGGTTGCATGTAATCGTTCTATATGACACTTCTTCCACAAGGTTGATTGACATGTGACGACAACCTCACCGGAAAATGTGAACGGGAGGACGTTTACAGCGGTTGTGTTCATGTTTTAGGTTACTGTTTTGCCTTGAACTCTGCTTGAGGATTGAGCATCAGTTATTCTTCAGGAAAATGGGAGAGAATTGTGCTCTCCTCCTTCTCTCTTATACTTTTTGGTGACTTCTGACGAATATCAATAGATGGATTACGAATGGAGGAGTGAAAATCTCCACCTTAAAATTAAATAAACATCTCATTTTTGCTTTGCAAAATCGCCACTACAACAATTCATTCTGGATAATAAACAAGCTAATTGCACCCAAGTTCAAATTGCCCTTCTCATATATTAGGCTTTCCACAGAGGGACGGATAATGGATAGAGGTGTCTGTCCATTGTACTCCGGTTCCAATTGCCTTCCTCATAAATTAGTCCTTTCACAATGAGCTGGAAAATTGTGTGAAAAAATTAGGTGTGCTATCTACACACCTCTTTTTACTTCTCACATACCCTTCTCAATTTCCGGCCGTCAGATCAAATGACAGAAAGTAACAAGATGTGTGTAAGAAGTAAAAAAGGTTGTATGGATAGCACACCCCTAAAATTAGTTGGGAATCAAATTCTTACATTGGGCCGGGAAAATTTGAGTGCAAGGAGAGCAATTCTTATTTTTGAGTTCAAAATTGAACTCATAACTGAGATGCCTATATAATAAAGAGGTGACTAATCATAAAATAAGGGAAAAGAAAAGGTACACGGTCCTAACATTTAATATATAAAGCGCACGCTTATCAAACTTACGCCACTGTGACAATAGTGTAATATGAATCAAACTCACGATGCCTGGTTTGAAGGAAAAGCTTTGGCTATGTAGAGATTATTTGAGCAACACATGAATATATTAACAATCAAATGAAAGCATGAACTCAAAACAAATGTAGGTCCCATGAAATTCAAGGGCTTGAGGTGAACCAAGACTCTTTTCATAAAAGAAAGAAGAAAGATTGAGCTTTCATACCCTTGAAGTTCATTCTTGTTTTCACAAGGTTTTCACCCATGCGAGGACCTTCAATCTTCTTCTTATGCTCCATGGATTTAACTCCTTGAATCCTTGGATCTTTGCTCATTCCTTGCTCCTCTGCTCCTTGAGGATTTGATGAAATGATTCTTCAAGCATCAAAAGGATAGTGCTTCTAACTCACACCAAGGGTGAGATGTGAAGATGAGATGGAAGAACTAAAGGAGGATTATCCTCCTACAGTGGCCGGGCTGTTATAGAGAGAAAAGGAGAGAATGTACCTCCAAGTTTTATACTCTAACAATCCTAATGAGGTTGTAGTTATAACACCCCTTTTACAGTCACTCTAACTTGAGTGGCATGGGTGTATTAGTCTCTACCCTCTAGCATAGCCCGCCTTGCCCTTTAATATTGGGATTTTTGTTCCTTTGGTCTTAAGTTGTCATAAACTTAAGCCTAATGGGCCTTCTGAAGCAAAGCCATTGGGCCTCGAAAACCCTAAACTATTTTAGAGCCCAATACAAACTTATTCGTATGATTAATTAACTTATTAATGGAACTTCACTATACTCAATTAAACTATTTAATTGATCTTATCCATCTTATTTATATTTCTTCATGTTCTTCATTATATGGTGTACGATCCATTAGGTTCCCAATCAGCGAGGCAGTGAGAGATTGTACCTCTTATAATCGATTGTGAATTGACTTATTTTCTATTCTGCCTATGATGAAGATTAGTGATTGCTAATCTTTAGGGCTTTGACAAACTATTAATGACACCTAGCAGTATATCATGGCTACCCAAGTTAAGTAGAAGTAGTTAGATAACCTATTTAGTTACAACTACAATGAAATATGGTCCCACTTTAATTCAATACTCTTGACCAAATTGTTTGGTTAATAATTTATTTCATGTCTACTATCCAACGTGATACTTCTCTATATGATTCTTGTGAATATGATTTGGAACATTCTTCCTAAGTCATATTCATATGCTTTTGCCAAGACTCTCGAATCATATTTTAGAGTATTTTTATTCCACTATGGAAGGTTAAAGATCCTTTATTGTACAATCACATGTCTCTATGAATAAATTAACGACCTTAACAATGCTCTAGGAACAGGCCCAAGATGAGCCATGTACTTTGTCACATTGTCCAATGATCAAAGACATATCCACAAGGCATGTGTGGTGTCTCCGACCCTTGCATCATTGCAACTAATTAGTCCTTAGATGACACTAGAAAAAGTGCCCACGCGTTGCCGTGAGTGTTTAAAATATTTTGGAAATATATCCATAGATAAACAAAGGTGTGCTATTTTGTGTTTCAAAACTGTATAGAACATGTAAAGGCAAGTTTTTCAGATGATACAAATATTTAAGCATGAACACAAACCTCATCTTCAGATTCAGAGCTCTCTTTAGATTCAGAGCTGTTAATGTATGCCTTCTTAACAGTCAGTGATGGGCCTTTATTTGCAGCTGAGCAGGGTTTTTGGGTAGTAACCTTTGTAGTGGTTTCCTGCGAATACAAAAGTTGAGGATCACTATTAACCAAACGGTACCTTTTCCAATCTAAAAATAAATACAGAACACAATGTATTCCAAATATACAGATGTGAGTGACTCAAGGCATGCTCTGCTTTAATTAAAATCAAACTGAGGTTGAAGAAGATAGAGAATATACTGAAAGTGATTGCCAACGGAATTCGCACATGATTGACCTTATGATCCACCTAGTGCTTATAGAACTGCAATTGTGGACATCGTTAAAAGCAGCCTTCACATGAGACTCATGAATTGTGGACCAAGCAATGAGATTTAAGATTTAAGATCTATTCAGATAACTCAATAAATTTAGCTCAACAACAACAACAAATCATTTTCCCACTAAGTGAGGTCGGCTATATGAATCCTAAAACGCTATTGCGCTCGGTTTTGTCATATCTTCCATTAGATCCAAGTACTCTAAGTCTTTTCTTAGAGTCTCTTTCAAAGTTTTCCTAAGTCTTCCTCTACCCCTTCGGCCCTGGACCTCTATCCCGTAGTCACATCTTCTAACCGGAGCGTCAGTAGACCTTCTTTGCACATGTCCAAACCACTGTAACCAATTTTCTCTCATCTTTCCTTCAATTTCAGCTACTCCTACTTTATCTCGGATATCCTCATTTCTAATCTTATCCCTTCTTATGTGCCCACACATCCAACGAAGCATCCTCATCTCTGCTACACCCATTTTATGTACGTGTTGATGCTTCGCTGCCAACATTCCGTGCCATACAGCATCGCCGGCCTTATTACTGTCCTATAAAATTTTCTCTTGAGCTTCAGTGGCATACGACGGTCACACAACACGCCAAATGCACTCTTCTACTTCATCCATCCATCTTGTATTCTATGGTTGAGGTCTCCATCTAATTATTCGTTCTTTTGCAAGATAGATCCTAGGTAGCGAAAGTGATCGCTCTTTGGTACTTATTGATCTCCGACCCTCACCCCTAACTCATTTTGGCCTCCATTTGCACTGAACTTGCACTTCATATATTCAAGACACAAATTTATTCAACAAAAATATTCAAACATAAATAATATTTAAGACACAAATTTGAAAATCCAATTGCGATAACAAATAATGTAATTATTACCTTGCAAGAGGAGAACATGGTGAGCCTTGAAACCGGAGTGGCTTTCTCGATAACCTCAAATGCTAACTTGTTAATCTTTTCATCATGATCACACATTATCTAGTACCGACCAAACCAAACAATTAACTAAAAAAATGAACAACAATAACCAAGCTTTATCCACTTGAGGTCGGTTTAATTGAAAATCCAAAAGTTGACAAATTTAAAGCCTAACTATTGGGAGTTTAGATTGCAGGCAACCAACCTCTACTTGTTTTTTGCCCGTTTGGTTTCAAGTTGGAGGCTCTTGGTGGACTGGGCGATCCTGATGGAAAGACTCATTTGGGTTGTTTCCTTTAGTTTAGTATAGAACTATCCAAGGTAATTATAAACGTTAGTTGGATGATAGAGTTAAAAGGGCAAAAAAAAAAGGCGAGGCAGCAACGAAAGTAACAGAAAATTAACAATGCAAAATATTTGAGATATTGAAAGCATAATAAATCTCTCCCCACCTAAAACAATCAGATTCTCGTTCTCATCCAAGGCCCCGATGATGTTTAAATACTCTATGGCGTTTTGCACCTGTAAAAGATATCAAAAGACAAAAGGTGAATTGCAGATGAGCAGCAAAATTTACAAATAAACACAACATCATTTCAGGAGGAACAATTTGGGGTCATCCTTGAGCTGCATGTGTGCAGGGTGCAACTAAACCACCATATGCCACTAAGATAACAAACAGACATTAATAAGCATATGCACTGAATGCTAATGAATTAACAATCATTAGCTCTAATTAGTTTAAGAAAGTACTACAATGAAAAGAAAATTACAACAATTCTCAATAAGCTTTCAGATCATTTTAGTTATGACAACTTAAATATTTCCATATGATCTCAAATAATTGGAGAACCTCACATGATCCATCATCCATGTGATCTGTCTTCTTTTTCAAATGGGTAGCCTCCAATCGATCTAATATCTACTGAGTAACACTCAAAGATCAATACTTTAAGCAAAAAACATATGGGGTTCCATTTATTTCCCAAATAAAATCAATGGTTTACATAGAAATTAGAAAAGCTGACCAGCGAGCAAAGAAACACACATAGTTAACCCACCAATTTATCCCAGACTTGTCAAAAATATGAGCTGAAAACAATTACAACACATTTCATACCCCACGCAATTATCTTTGCTTAACAGGAATAATTCTTTTAGGACCAACTACCTGTGTTATAACAGAATAACCAAACTCTCTCTCTCTCTCTCTCTCTCTCTCTCTCTCTCTCTCTCTCTCTCTCTCTCTAAGTTTCCGAAAACCTGCAGCAAGCATTCATGGATGATGTTGCCAATTGTGAGTAAAAGACATGGTCATTAAGAAGCACAACCTAAAACCCGTGAAATCCTCTTTGATTTCTGAATTTTTGACAAACCCATGTCAAAAATTTCCATTTTCTCCTCTGGTTTGAAAACTGAAACCCAGACCTCTCTCCCCACAGGCACCGACTCCTCTCAGAGTTTAAAACATTAAAATCCATAAGAACCCATCACCCAATCTCTCAAAACACAACAGAAGAAAACCCATTTCACAAACTAACACAAAAATCTACAAAGGAAGATAAAAATGGAAAAAAAATCACGCACCAAAGAGCTGTCCAGAGAAGGAAGTAGCTGTAAAGCGAGAAAAGCGGGGCTGAGATGACCAAAACACAAAAGAAAACGAAAGGGAAGCAGACAGTGGAGAACAAAAGGAAAAACAAACCGAGAGCGACAGAGAAGAGGGAACGGGAATAAGAAAGAAAAGAAAACGGAAACGAAGCAAAATAAACCCCAAAAAGAGCACAACACGATGACTAACACGTGGCACAGTCAATTCCCACATTCTCTCTGCAGGAACCACCAAAACCAATCAGAGCAATTCCACCCTTAACACGCCAGCATTCAGCACATTTATCCACTCAATTAACAGTAATAGACTCCAATGAACAGTAATAGGGCCAAATACATTTCCACCCCTAAAAAAATGCGCTGGCACAAAGTCTAAAAATGTGTTGGCACAAACGATCTCCACCGCTACAAAATTCACTGGCACTCAGCCCATTTAAAATATTTTAAATTTTTTATAAAAAGAATAAATAAATAAAATAGTTTTAATTTCAAATAAGATTTTAACCAATCTTGTCATGTCATGTGTCATTATCCAAAGGTACTATTTTGTGAATAGATTTCCGCTAAGATTTGCAACCAATCCCGACGCGCCACGTGTCACTATCTATTTACAATAATTTAGCCAAGATTACGATAGGATTTTCAACCAATCTTATTACGCCATGTGTCATTATCCGAACGTACTATTTTGTGGATAGATTTCCAATAAGATTTTCAACCAATCCCGACGTGCCACGTGTCACTTTCTGTTAGCAATAATTTAGCTAAGATTTCGATAAGATTTTCAACCAATCATGTAGTGCCACGTGGCATTGTCTAGAACCTCATCCTTTCTTTTTTTGTCCATATAAACCCTACATCTCTACATCCATCCTCACACCAAACTTAATCCTTCTTTTTAGCACAAAATCCTTCTTCATCGTTTTCAAATCTTGAGTTTTTTTTACAATGTCTTCTTCAAGAAGAGTGCATAAACAATTTGAGGAGCAACAGAAAAGATTGTTGGCACACAAAGGAAGAATTGATCAATCTCGAGGAAGGTAGAGGTGGAGATGAGGCTTTCGCAATGGAGGAGGGTGAGGATGATGACCATAGAAGGCAGAGTACCTCACATTCCCATCGTGTTATGGAAGCTATGGGTTAGATAGCCAAACCTAGACATGCCGCAAACTTTGATAGAAAAAAGGAAAGACGTGGTAAAGATCTCTTGGAAGATTATTTTATTTCCAACAGTGTATTCCCTGATCATATTTTTAGATGTCGTTTTAGAATGCAACGAAGTTTGTTCGACAAAATCATGAGTGCTATTTGCAACCATTATCCATATTTTGTGCAAAAAAAAGATGCTTTTCATGTTCTAGGTCTTCTTCCTGAGCAAAAAATTACGGTTGCCTTGCGAATGCTTGCATATGGAGCATCTGCAGATCAAGTGGATGAGATTGCAAGGATGGGAAAAAGAACTGTTCTGGAGTCCCTGATGCAATTTTGCTCTGCAAGTGAAGCCCTGTACACCAATGAGTACCTCTGAACACCCACGCCAAGGGACATGCGAAGGCTTCTGAGGAAGGGTGAGATGCGAGGCTTCCTTGGTATGATTGGAAGCATCGACTGCATGCACTAGACTTGGAAAAATTGTCTAAGTGCGTGGCAAGGAGCTTATGGCAACAAAAAAAATGAGCCAAAAGTATCATTTTGGAAGCAGTGGCTTCATTTGATACATGGATTTGGCATGTGTTTTTTTGGTGTTTCAGGAGCTCAAAATGACCTAAATGTCCTTGCCTAATCTCCACTGTTCGACGAACTGGTGCAAGGAAAATCGCCGAGATGCACATATTGGGTTAATGACCATAAATACGAGGGACCATACTACCTTGCAGACGGCATTTACCCAACCTTTGTCAAAACAATGCCACATCCACAGAGTGAAAAAGAAAAACACTTCACAAAATGTCAAGAGGGGTGTAGGAAGGATGTGGAGTGTTGTTTTGGTATCTTGCAAGCTCGTTGGGCGATTGTCATGTCTGCTGCTAGAATGTTTGAAGCCAAGGCTCTTCAATCCATCATGATGATGTGTATTATTCTCCACAACATGATTGTGGAAGATGAGTATGATTATGATGTCGTCGATGAATACGAGCCGGATCCAATGAACAACTCAAGAACAAGTATCTGCTATGCCATGATCGGACTGAAGATCCCGTGCAACACGAGCTGTTAGAACGGCATGGACGTTACAATGAATTAATCGTTCAATAGTACACTGATTTGCAAGAGCCATATTGGCACGTAACCCGCCAGAATGACTTGATTAAGCACCAGTGGGGATTGCAAGAAGGTGAAGATAATTAAAATGAGTTTGTGGTTGAAGAATAAAGTGTATTTTTTGAAGTTTATATAAATTTATTTGGTGTGTTTTTTTTTAAAGTTTATTTGGTGAGGTTATGTAAACTTATTTGATGTGTTTAAATAAAGTACAAAAAATAAATTTGAAATTGCATAAAGTTCTAAAAATAAATAAGAAATTACATAAAGTACTAATAATAAATAAGAAATTACACAAAGTACTAATAATAAATAAGAAATTACATCTATAAATAAAAATAAATAAGAAATTACATAAAGTACTAAAAATAAAGACGAAATTACATAAAAATTACATAAGAAATTAAATAAAGTACTACAAATAAATACGAAATTATACAAAGTCTCTGGAGCTAGGATATGTGGTGCTAGGATCTTCGTTGCTAGGATTTGTGTAGATATAACTCCTTTGACTTGTTTCCGCATCTCTTGCATGCCTCCTTCATACGACGTCTTTTTTTTTCGATGTCCAAAAATATTTTGAATTCGAAGACAGCCCTACTAGAGACTTGTTCATAATGTCACGATCTGCTTGAGCTATCCTTTTTTCTTTAAGCATCTCATTTTCTCGATTAAGTGCTTCTCTAATCATATCGTTCTCTCGATTAACTATTTCTCTTTGTCTCTCAGCCGCCACATCACATCTCTCAGTAGTTGCTAATTTGCTGCCATAGCAGTAGCATTTTCCTCATCTCTAGCCGCTTCCCGCGCCATCTTCAGATCACCTTGGCGAGCAAGTTCCTCCATATATTTAGTGTAGTCATTTTTGGAAGAACTACCTTTTTTCTTTGATGCCTTTTTACCTTGAGGCCTGAGGGACTGATGAGTCGGTTGGGTTTACGGCACTTCTTCAGTCGTCCCTTTCGTGTCTTCAAATGTGTCGCCTTCTTGTTGGGCCGTGTCTGCTTCTAGCGAACTGTGTAGACCCATACTGTGCATGACAACTTCTGGACCGGTTGCCACAATTTTGTATCTGGGGCAATCTTTGACAATTTCCCAACATTCCCATTTGTTGAATGATTTGTTGTGGTTCTTCGCATTGTAGAAAGCTTGTGCTTGTAGTGCCTATAAATGTGGGATAAGACAGTATTATAAAGTGTAGGTGTAACACAAATAAATAAATTAAAATATTGATGTGGGTGGAATACACAACAAGTAAAGGATGCGTTGAGTTTTTTTCCAACGACCTTGACTACTTATGGCGCCTTTTCCATGTACATCGCAAAATGCTTTCGTAATTTACTCCACATTTCTCGCTTATCCATCTCATTACCCATAATCGGGTCATGAGTTGTGTGAACCCAACATTCACACAACGTAACATCCTCAATGAGCTTCCACGAAGTCATTTTTTTCTCTCAAAGTATAGAAAATATTGAAATGTAGAAAGTGTAGAAAATATTGAAATGTAGAAAGTATAAAAAATATTGAAATTTATTGAAATGAGGGCTAGGTATTTATAGAAAAAGAAATAAAATTTTTAAAATTTTTCTGTATTTTTTTTTAAATTTCATAATTTTTAATTTAGTTAATTAATCTGGACCATTGGATTTGAAAAATATTCAAATCCAGCAGCCTATAAGGTGCCACGTGACCAACTGTCATAATTCTGACCGTTGGGGCATTTTATTTATTTATTTTTTTAATTTTTGGGTTCAAAAACGCAAACGGTTGATTTGTGATCGAACGGTCCAGATCAAAATTATAATTCAAATTTTTTTTACTATTGGAAATCCAACAGTCTAGAAAAACTACCCGTTGGAAATCCAACAGCCCAGGTTGGGCCACGTGGCCTCCCCCTCAACTTGGCTGAGTGCACTGCGCATGCGGGCCTGCTCTACTTTTTGTGTCTGCTACTCCTACCCACTCGCGCATCCGTGCCACGCGCCTAGCGCATGAGGTCACACGGGCCGGTCCCAAGGTCTGTCAATTTTAGGCTGGCCTGGAGACCAGCTTGGGCTGGGTGCCAGGCAATCTACTGGGCTGGAGAGAGTTCCCTAGGTGCCAGGCCATTTTTTTGGCTGTGTGCCGGCCTATCCCACCCCCGGTGGAAGTGCTCTCATAAACCATGAAAAAAGCCAAAGGGCAAATCCGTCAACCAGAAGAATGGCCAAGGGGTGAGACAAACGGTAAGAAAAGAGAAAAGCCAGGGGCATTTTTGTTAGCAGAAGAGTCACTCAACTATACAAAGAAAGCAATAACAGGCCAAATAGAGGAAAAATCGAGGGGCAAAAATGTCCAAGCACTGGAGTACCACCCGTATTCGGTTTTAGTATATAAAGATGTATGCTAGAACTCTCTGTTGATCGTTGTTCAGTGTACTCAACAACCTTTAGAGAACCTATGTGTTTGTCTTAGTGTCTAACATTAATGACTTTGATAATAGTCATACTCAGTGGCGGAGCCAGAAATTCATATGAGAAGAGGCCTTTCACAAATGTTAAAAAAAAATTGGCAGATAACACATTACAAAACTACTAAACAAAACATCATAGTAACATATTCATTGTCAGTGATGTGTTTGAAAGTGTTTTGGAAATGACTGAAAATGCTTTTAATGAAAGTGTTTATAGAACCAATCCTTAGTTAAAGTGCAAGTGAATCCGAAAAAGAACTTGAATTGCTTCTTACAAGAAGTATATAATTGGTGATTCTTCCATACTTTTGAAACCTAAAAACACTTTCACCAAATGCGCTTTCAGTTATTTTAAAAGTACATCCAAATGTACACAATTACTTGTTACATGATAACCTTGCCATCTATACTATTAAATTTAATAGTGTGAATCAATAAAAAAAATTATAAGCACTAAAACTTAAATAAGAGGTAAGATAGAGGATAAACAATAAAAAGTTATAGAGAATAAGATATATTTCACAAATCTTGTTGTTGAATTAATTTGAATTTGGTATGACAATATATATGAAATTTCATAAAATGAGAAGAAGATTAGCTTTGTAGATTTGGAGTCCTGCTTCTGGGTTGCACCGTGAAATAGAAAAATCAAAGTAGATTTTTTTTTCATTTAAAAGTGAAGGATTAGTGTTAGGGTTTTTTTTTTGTTTTTTTTTATTTTATCAAATGCTATGTGACATACATAATAAAGTAATCGAGTTAGTGGTGGGATGCAATCAGACTTGGAAGTTGAAATTTGGAATACGAAAGAATAGGTTTGAATTGTTGTAACATTGACCAATAAGAGGAGGATTCTAAATGAAAGAAGAATAATACCAATAGAAGGAGGGTTGCAAAGAAAAACTTAGGATGGGCCTAGGCCAATCCTTGTCTCAAGGTTCTGCCGCCACTGATCATACTCCCGATTGAGTTGATCTAACACATACTAGACTTAACGGATTGTCAATGCCTAATTGACAATCCTATGTGTGGTTTTAGGATTGAACATAAGACAAAGGTCTCATTGATCTAACACTTAGATCCCTTCTCTCTTAGGTTGATTAATTTCCTTTGATTCTGTTATTGATTAAACACATAATACATTAAATAGTGATTAACAATAAACATTGCCCTTCCGTTAAACTAAATAAGAGCTTAACAAAATAAGTATTCCAAAATATATTACATTAAATGAATGGCTTTAAGGGGATACTTCTAACATGGTTCTCATATAGAGGCATCAAACTCACATAAACTACTATGAAAGGACTTTTGATTCTTATATATATAGGGATCAAACGCACATAAACCACTTTGAAATATGCCTTAGACTGGTTTAGAATATTGACTTATCAAGACAAAATGACAATTGGGATGAGGGAGTAAAAAATTGGTTACAAGGGAGTAAGTGAGTCCTAGTTTATGAGAGTCTAGACTGTTCGAGTTTGTTTAAATTTAACTCAACAACCATAATTCTTTGACTTATTGATGGCACACCCCTTGAAACTCATCCTCGCTCTTACTTGGCCTAATTTATGAGGAAGGCAATTTGAACTTGGGTGTAATTAGCTTTTCAGTTATTTAGAATGTATTGTTGTAGTGGCGATTTTCCAAAGCAAACATGAGATCTTTATTTATTTTTAAGGTGGAGATTTTCACACTCCTTCATTCATAAATTTGACAGATTTTTGCCAAATTTAAAAAATGAGGCATAGTGAGAGACGTCATATACTTGTTCTCTCGTAACTATGCAAGTAAGAAAATGGGGTGAAGTGAGAAAAAATGAGTTTCACACGGTATAGTGAAAGCGAGTTTGAGTTTTAGGGAGTGCAGCCGTAGATAAGCCTGAATCATGCCATCAAAGAACCAAAGCAGTTCTCTTTTCTTCGTAGTTTTGAATTGCTTAAAAAGGAAAACTTTTGGTTTTCCACATCTAGCTATGCAATTGTGAATTTCATTCTTACTTTCAAGCTTACTTGACACACCCCGACCGGAGTCGAGGCATGCTGGCTGTCTCCCGAAGGTGACGTAACCATAAAGGAAAGTGAAGTATAAAAATGTGGATAAATTTAAACCAAACTAACAATTATTTAAACTAAAGTAGAGAGTGCGCAGTGGTGGGAAGAACCCATAAAGCACAAATGTTCAGACCATAGATGACATAAGTAGTGCAGTCGAAACTAGCTAAGTACTTATTACATAACAAGAAAAGTTCCTACATTTAGACGTATGTCAGAATCACCAGAGATTTCCTCGTATGCCATAGAGAATTCAGCTATCTAGGACCTGGAGGGGCGAAAAACAGAAAGGTGAGTGGGCAAAAACAAAGGTTTATAAAACACATTTATTTTCAGAACATACTAACCCGTGGCCGTAAAACCTGTATAGTTTCCAGAAAATCATACTACATATATGCATGAAAACAACTGTAAATCAACAGTAAATCTATAAATACGCCAAATCGCAAAATATCTCAATAGTAGCATAATAAAATCATGTGCTCATTAATCTATGCTAACACACGAGTTCATGCAGATAATTCCTAACATGAACAGGACTTTGTGTAATCATAATATAACTAGTACTACAATCATGTGAAGACTGGCGCTAAGCGCAGCACATACAAGTCGGAGTTGCCTAGGGCAACCTGTACAACAGGATTGGCACCTACAATGGATCCAAAGTGAACGTGCGGTGCGATGTGCACATACACGTGAAAGACTGGCCTTGACCCGGAGCGAGTACTACACCAATGCAAGCATGTATGATGAGCAAAATATAATATATGTGAATATGCCATGACAATATATAAATCTCAACATCATAACAGCATTTTCAAAATTAAAAAAATCATGGCATATAGGCGTAAAATCATTTATGGAAACTATAAAACTTTATATATAATATATATAAAAACAAAATGCCCACTCACTGACACGTCGATGGATCGTAACCTTCTAGCCGTGCTTGTCCTCGTATGTCCTCGAGATAGTTCTCACCTATATGCAACACAACTATACTAATTAGTTAATTAGGACATATACTAAAAGGCTAGGAAAAACCCCCATTGTTTGCTCAAATGAAGGGTTTAAATATACCAAAACATTCTCCTCAATGTCATGGACCCATACACGTCAAGCACTCGCCGGTCGAAGGCTAGACGTTCCCTCACGCGCCGCCTAGCCCACGGCCACACACGCACCCATGCGTAGGTTAGAAACTGACAGACTTCAGGGAATATTCTGTCAGACTTGACGGAATATTCCGCTAACGGTAACGGTGCCAAAATATTTTGTTAAGTTTAACGGAATATTTAGTCTTCTTCTTTGGTGGACCTCTACCGCCGTCGCCACCGGCGCCTCTGTCTGGTTCGTTGGAAACTATGAAAGGTTGTCGATTTCTAGAAATTTTTCAAAACTTCATATCTTGCTCATTTCTCAACCATTTTCAACGTGCTTTATATGGAAATGAAGCTGGAGAAGAGTAGAACAAGATTGTACCTTCCAAAAGTCCAAAAATGGATGGGAAGTGGCCTGAAAAAGCCTCGAAAGTTTCGGACTTATTTTCTTCACCTCGAAACCCTGTGTTTCCACGTTAACTCAACTTCAAACTTAGGCTATTGACTCAAGGGAGTTGTGTGGAGGCTTCCAAACATCCCAAAAGCTTGTAACTCGGCCGGGAACAAGTCAGGGAAAACTCGCCCGAGTCGGAGCTTCTTAGTTGGGTGTTCAAAACTCAACCATTTTACGATCGGTTTGTATAGTTGGATTCGTAAGGATGAGAGAAATGTGATGATGGTGGTTGCAAGCTCAATTTGTGAGATTTGATGTATGGTCCTTGTTGTTGCAGAGAAGAGGGAGTCACGGTGAGAGAGAGAAGGAGAAGATGAGAGAGAGAGATGATTTGATTGGATGAGAGAAGTGAGGGAGTGTCTGATTGGTTGAAGGAAAAGAGGGAAAGTGAGTGATTGATGGTGAGGAAAAAGGGGACACAGGACAATTTTTAAAAGAAGAAAAAGATAAGGTTTGGTACACATTTCAAATTTCACGAAATATGTCCCCTTATCAAAAATAGTGTTTCTAACATTGGATAATTAACACACGCGTGTACAATTTTACCCATTGTTAACTTACTTTAACTAAGCATAAGTTTTTCGTTACCACTCCGATTCGGGTCTAACTCACACTCACACAATCGTAACAACGATTACTAATTAATTACGATAATGAGGAAAATAATTTAAAACCAAATAGCCACATCCACGTCACTTTGCCAACCAGGGCATAAATGTCAATTTACACACTCGGGGAGAAAATTACATAGAAATTTAGGGATGGGTCGTCACATTACTTGGTCACCAAACATCTTTCAACTAAAATAAGTATTGACTGATATATTAATTTACAAACACTTTATTTTTGCAAAAGAAGATTTATGTAAATGGCTTGTAGCTCAAGCAGTTAAGAAAATTCACTTTTGTACTTGTGGTCCTAAGTTCTATTTCCCTCTTTCCCCCTTCCCTTCCCCAAAACCATTGCTTGTATGATGTTGTACCAAAGTTTGGGCCTTTTACTATTTGTTATGAATATTATTTAATATGTGATTGTGTAAATCCCAGTTAGATTTGGAGTCTAGATTAACGATTTTTCTAGTGATTATTTCCTTATAGGATCTTACTTGGAGGACAAGTTAATCCTCTCCCCTTGGTTTACTATAAATAGAGGCACTGGCATAGGGAGAATCACACAATCATTTTTTATTATTCCCTCAAATGGCCAAGGCCCAAGTTTGACTGTGTAACCTACACCCTTAGGTTGCATAAATTTTCAGAAGTCGGATGGTGCATTAAAAGCTACAGGACAATGAGGCCATGTCCCCATGTCTGTGCTTAATCGTAACCGCACTTCAGACTTCTCTTACACTAACACTTTGGAGTTTTTAGACTTGCATTTTTGCATAATTTCAAAGTAGTGTGATATATGGGATATTATGCTATATCATGTACCATTAAAATAAAAGTCATGGAATAATCAAATTATATTTCTTATTATGAAAGAATGAGAGTTTGAGGTTTTTTTTTTTGGGGGGGGGGGGGGTTGTGGTTGAATCCATATTGGACTACCTACATATCTCCAAGATTGTAGCCTTCGTCAAAGCATGAGCATGATTTTGCATATTCATGAAAACAAGACAAAAAACTAAAGGAAGCAACATCAAATTATTAAAGAAGTAAGAAGGACTCACCATGTATCGGCTTTGGTAGCAATTCCTGACCAAATGATTAGACTCTGCAATCAATTCCTCAAAGTCAGTAAGGCAAGTTGTCGAATGGATCAGAGCTTGAACATGATTTATGTTGTGAAGATCGCTTACATTGAAGGTGAACACTTCGCGATCGTGGACATACTTGATTATAAGAGAAGAATGGACTCCTCTCACAACCTTATCAGAAGAACTTGATGCTCCGGTGAATGATGGAGGGAGCATAGCAGAGTTGCTTATCACTGCTTCGCTCCTCAGAATAAGGGCAACACATCGCTTAGAATCTACCTCTTGGTTAGGAGTAGGGGCAGGGTCATCTTGTTGTTGTTGATGATGATGTTATTATTATTGTTGTTGCTGATGTGGCTACTGATCATATTGTTGTTCCTTGACCATAAGAACCTGGCTTTCAAGAACGTCGACAAAACCTTCACCGTTGCTTAAGGAAAGTCTCGTATCCCCTTCTTCTTTAACTATAAAAGCTTGTTGTTGTTCCACCTCAAGTAGCCTTAGCTCGAATAAAGTGGGATCCCCGAACTCGAGCACTTCGTCGACTCTCTCTTGGGGAATGGCTAAACTCCTAGCCGCACCAGAGCTCTTCTTGGAAAGCCTAACATCATTGTCCTCTTCGTAGCACCTTTAGGTCGTTTCCTCTTCTTCTCTGATTTAGGGACTTTCTGGGACCTTCACCAAATCTTTCCTATCCTTGGCTGCCTTTGCATCAACCTAGGCTAAGTCCATAATGGGATTGTTATAATAGTGGTCTATAATGGTGTCCCTTCCATGCTCTTTAAGCCTTTCTGGACTAATAAACCACTTCTAGTTTCGATGTTCAACATTAATGACTTTGAAGGTCCTATTAATCAGCTAAGGGTGGTACTGACTGACACTATTCTAAAAGTCCCCCCCTAGCGTCACCTAGGGCCCCCTAGCTCCGCCTAGACCCCGTCTAGGTGCTAAGCAACTGGTCACCGCTCCGATTAATGCCTAGGCAATTGAAAATTAAGAAAGAGTGCCTAGACATGCTGAGGCGCCCGCTTAGACCATCTAGGCACCTGCCTAGCCCGCCTAAACCTACCTACGCTGCGACTCACTTAGACAGAAAATAGATAACTTCATTTTGTACTTTATTTTTTACAATAAATTATTAGGGACTTACTGTATACTTAAATGAACACACATTATATGCTTGTTCCCCATGTTTTCATTATGTTCCAATACTTCTTAATACACACACACACACACACACACACACACATATATATATATATATCATTTTACTTTGTAGTTTATGATGAAATTATATATATTTTAAGTATAAATAGACACTTATATCCACGAAATATAGTAGATTTACTTAAATCCGCCTAGCAGCCTTGGCATTAGGCCCCAACATGTTGCTCAACTAGTGTCTATCGTCTTTTAGAATTTTGTTGATCAATACCTTCCACGTCATTATCACATCAAAAATTGATAAGGGGAATATTTCGTACTCTGGTCCAAGAAATGTCGCCCTCTCAGTCTTCATTAACAATCAAAACATCTTTGTACCAGGCTTTATCTGGCGAGGCAAATCGATGATGTAGGCAATCCATCTGATGCTTGGCTGGGATTGAAAAAAATAATCAGGATCAACGTTTTCTTGTATGGTGTACAACATGCGAAATTCCTAAATACCAAGCTCCACTCCATACAGCTTATTTAAGAGTTCGAAGCAAGTGATAAAGTGTAATGATGCATGCGTAAGATTGCATAAGGCAACCTTACAGCAAATCATGATTTCTTTCAGAAAAGGGGAAAGAAGAAATTTAGCCCCAAATCTAAGTACTAAGGGTGAATCTTGGTACATGGACGCTTGGGGTTGGTAGGAATAGGCAAACCGCATCGGTTCCTACCAAACCGTGCACCCATTCAGAAGATGTAGGTGATGGCGAGCAAAGGCTTCTCCATTTTCTTTACTACGAACCCTAACCATCATAGGGTCAAATTGAGAGTCGAAATTAGCGGCTAGGGTAGAAAGAACACTTGAATTAGCAGCCGTATTTTATGGGTATTGAAGAAAGGAAGAATTGAAAAGCAGAGAAATTTAGGCGAAAAAAGAGGGAAGTTGATTGAGTTAAGAGGTACAATCGCTCATGAGTATAAAAATCAATGGACGTTTATTGAGTTAAGTAGATCCTTTGAAAAAGTAACATTGTTTTCATAGTTATAATTGTTTGTCAATGCTAGGCCTGACAATTTCTGACACGACCCGATAACCCGACACGACACGACACGAAATTAACAGATGTTCGGGTCGACACGATAACGAAACGGGTCGTTATCGGGTAACCCGATAAGCACCTGTTAAAATAACGAGTTGTTTCGGGTATACACGTGGGTAACACGATACACGATAAACAAAATATTAATTTTATAATTTTATAACCCTAAAAAAAATACTATAATTACTATATATATTAATTTAACAATTTTATACGCCTAAAAACTATAATAATTATATATATATATATATATTAAATTAACTATAATAATTATAATAATTATATATACTATAATAATTATACCCCCAAAATATTAACTATAATAGTTATATTTATATATATATATATATATATATATTAAATTTTAAATCAAATTTTATACCCCTAAAAACTATAATAATTATACATACAAAATAAATAGATTTAAATCTACTTAATAAATAAATAAATATATACACACACACACACACCATTGAACTTCATGGGATACGAATTATATGAAACTAATTTCAATGATTCAACCATCAAACATGTTTGTATATGCTTCGAGATCGCATCAGCAAAAAATTACAAAAAACATACATTCACAGATCAAGTAACGAGACAAAACTTTTCGATGGTTATAAACGAAAAATCACGATTTAACGGTTATTTTAACTCCGATTTTGATGATTTTTTACAGCGACACTCCTTGACCCTATATCAATACAATGAATGAATTTGATCTTCAATTTAAAATATTTACACTAGTGGATACCACAAAATCTTATGTTATACTTGATGAAAGTATGAATAAACTCTTAAGTGTTAGTGAATCTATTGTTTTGATGGTATACGCATTCTACGAAACTAGTTTCAACGATCCAACCGTCAAACATGTTTGTATATACTTCGAGATCGTATACGCCAAAAATTGCAAAAAACAAACATTCAGAGATCAAGTAACGAGACAAAACCATTCGACGGTTATACACAAAAAATCACGATTTAACGGTTATTTTAACTCCAATTTTGATAATTTTTTAACAGCTACACTCCTTGACCCTATATGAATACAATGAATGAATTCGATCTTTAATTTAAAATATTTACGCCAGTGGATACCACAAAATTTTATGTTATATTTAATGAAAATATGAATAAACTTTTAAGTGTTAGTGAATTTATTGTTTTGATGAGATACGCATTTTACGAAACTAGTTTCAACGATCCAACCGTCAAACTTGTTTGTATATGCTTCGAGATAGCATACGCCAAAAATTGCAAAAAAACAAACATTCGGAAATCAAGTAACGGGATAAACAATTTCGACGGTTATAAACGAAAAATCATGATTTAACGGTTATTTTAATTCTGATTTTGATGATTTTTTACATTTACACTCCTTGACCCTATATGAATACAATACAATGAATGAATTCGATCTTCAATTTAAAATATTTACACTAGTGGATACCACAAAATCTTATGTTATACTTGATGAAATTATGAATAAACTCTTAAGTGTTAATGAATCTATTATTTTGATGGGATACGCATTCTACGAAACTAGTTTCAACGATCCAACCGTCAAACATGTTTGTATATACTTCGAGATCGCATACGCCAAAAATTGAAAAAAAACAAACATTCAGAGATAGAGTAACAGGACAAAACTTTTTGACGGTTATAAACAAAAAATCACGATTTAACGGTTATTTTAACTCCGATTTTGATAATTTTTTAAAGCTACACTCCTTGTGACACACCCCGACCGAAGTCAAAGCATGCTGGCCGTCACGTGAGCGTGACGTAGCCATGTGCGCTGTGCGGAAGCGATATTTTAAGGAATAGCGAAATTTTATAAGAAAGTAAATTAAAACCAAATACGATAGGTTCTAATTTAAGTTTAAGTATTATAGTGAATAAATTAAAACCAAATACGATAGGTTCTAATTTAAGTTTAAGTGTGAATACACAACCAGAGCACAAGGTCTAAGTGCAGTCAAACATAAGATGTACATATGTAACAACACTCGACGATGATCCTACATGAGTGGTGATTTGTCAGAACTTTCAGCTGGACACCTCGAGATTCACCGATATACGCTACTTAGAACCTGGAGAGGCGCAAAACAAAGTTGAGTGGGTCAGCAAAAACGATCTTATTCAAACCTTCTTTTCTCTTTTGAATATACTAACCCCTCGCCGTAAAACAAGTATAGTTTCCCAGAAGTAAAGTATATAATCATATACTTAATATATATATCAAATCATGCGGAACAATATGAAGGTATGTCATGCCAAGTATCATAACTGAATGCTTAATCTCCTATGTGAATCTGATGGGATAACATATAATCAATTCAACGCTCGGCTATAAACATAATTCATAATCATCTCATCACAATCAACTCAGCCCTCGGCTGCATATATAGCTCATAATCATCTCATCACAATCATGTATAAACATGTATATCCTGCACACATTCAATACCACCTCATATGGTCTGCAATTCATCATCGTATATAATATAATATGCTCTAGTGCTACAATCACGTGAAGCTGTGCGATAAATCGCGGGTCACCAACAAGTCGAACCCACATAAGTGGTCTATACGACAGGCTGTACACTTAACTTGGATCCAAGGCGAGCATGCGGTGCGGGAGGTGAACATACACGTGAAGGCTGTGCCCCTAACTCTGGGCGGGAGCACTAATATACGTGTGCAAGTAAATGAGCTTTCAATCGCATCTCAATCATATAATTCATCATATCTCAACTATATCTCATGATCGTTATCAGCATAATATCTCATGATCGTTATCAGCATAATATCTCAATCGTATCACAATTATATCTCGAATCATATCACAAGTATATCTCAAACATTTCTCAAACATATCTCAATCACATTTCTCAAACATATCTTAATCACATTTCTCATACGTATATCAACTGTATTTCGTACGTATTTCAAATGTATATTATACGTATTTCGTACGTATTTCAAATGTATACTATACGTATATCAAATGTATTTTATACGTATATCAATCGTATTTCAAACGTATATCAATCGTATTTCATATGTATTTTATACGTATATCAAATGTATTTACTCACATGTAGCTTACCTGGGCCTCCTCAGCACCATGCAACAATATGCATAATTATGGTAATGCATATACTAAAATATGATGCATACATGATAAGTTACTTAATTCGTATTTCTTTTAAAATACGTTTTCTGGGAAATACGTCAAGTATACGTATATATATACTGAAAAATAACTGCCCACTCACTGATAAGTAGCCGGTTCGTAACTCCCTCGCCTATTTTGGTTAAGTTCTTCGTCCGTATAATTTTCACCTATACAAAAATAATTATAAAACATCATTTAAACGCACATACACAAACATTCGTCAATAACTTTCTCATACGTTGCTCAATTTGGGTATGTGAATATACCACGGTGATCTACACGACGTCACAAATACGTAGCAATTTTTAGAACAATTTTTTGAGCTACGACGCGCCCTCACGCGCCCCTAGAAGATCTGCTCACGCGCGTCGTCTTCTTCCTTGCGTCGCCGGACTGGTTTCGCCGGAGGTGGGTGTTTTGCCGGAATTTCTGGGTAAACTTCAAAGTGTCATAACTTCTTCATTTCTTAACCATTTTCGACGTACTTTATATCAAAATGAAATATTGACGAGACGAACACATACATACCTTCCTTGACCCCTAAATCTGCGTGGATTCACCGGAAAAAGCCCCGAAATCTCCGGCCAAACTTTGAACTTGTCGTTCTCCGTGTTCTTACGTCCAAAAACTTCCAACGAACTACTCCAAGCCTCCTAAGGATCTTAAGAAGCTTCCTATAAGCTTGAAAAGTCCTAAAAATCAACCAATAAAAAGTTGATGAATAGTACCTACACCGGAGTTCGTATTTTCGACGTGAAAACGTTATAGTTCTTACCTGAAATTGGTACGGTTGAACTCGTATCGTCGAAACGAAGAAGATGGTGATTTTTGTTTCGTCGATCTATGAAGTTTTGATGAACTTGTTGTTTGGTCCGTGGGTTTTGAGAGAAGGAGAGAGAGAGAGCTTGAGAGCTTGACGGGAGATAATGAGAGTTGAGTTTGAGGGAGCTGAGGGAAAATAAAAAGAGAGTGATTGAGGGAACAAAGTGGAGGGTTTCACGGAAAAGAAAAAGAAAAGTAAGGCAAAAGAAATGATTTCTGTAAGCCCCGTTAGGCATAGGATTCCAAGCTTAATCATTCATACATATACAGCCGAAAACATCCCTATCCGTCCATTATTACCCAAAATATCCAACTAAAAAAAAATTTAGGGTAATTAAACACACTTATGAAAACATTAATTCGGGACGGGCTGTCACACATTGATCCTATATGAATACAATGAATGAATTCGATCTTCAATTTAAAATATTTACACTAGTGGATACCACAAAATCTTATGTTATACTTAATGAAAATATTAAAAAACTCTTAAGTGTTAGTGAATATATTGTTTTGATGAGATACGCATTTTGCGAAACTATTTTCAACGATCCAACCGTCAAACTTCTTTGTATATGATTCGAGATCACATATGCCAAAAATTGCAAAAAACAAATATTCAGGGATCAAGTAACGGGAAAAACTTTTCGACGGTTATAAATGAAAAATCACGATTTAACAGTTATTTTAACTCCGATTTTGATGATTTATTACAGCTACACTCCTTGACCCTATATAAATACAATGAATGTATTTGATCTTCAATTTAAAATATTTACACAAGTGGATACCACAAAATCTTATGTTATACGTAATGAAAATATTAATAAACTCTTAAATGTTAGTGAATATATTGTTTTCATGAGATACGCATTTTGCAAAACTAGTTTCAACGATCCAACCGTCAAACTTGTTTGTATATGCTTTGAGATCGCATATGCCAAAAATTGCAAAAAACAAACATTCAGAGATCATGTAACGGGACAAAACTTTTCGACGGTTATAAACAAAAAATCAAGATTTAACGGTTATTTTAACTCCGATTTTGATGATTTTTTACAGCTACACTCCTTGACCCTATATAAATACAATGAATGAATTCGATCTTCAATTTAAAATATTTACACTAGTGGATACCACAAAATCTTATGTTATACTTGATGAAAGTATAAATAAAATCTTTAAATGTTAGTGAATTTATTGTTTTGATGGGATACACATTCTACGAAACAATCCAACCGTCAAACTTGTTTGTATATGCTTTGAGATCGCATATGCCAAAAATTGCAAAAAACAAACATTCAGTGATCATGTAACGGGACAAAACTTTTCGACGGTTATAAACAAAAAATCAAGATTTAACGGTTATTTTAACTCCGATTTTGATGATTTTTGACAGCTACATTCCTTAACCCTATATAAATACAATGAATGAATTCGATCTTCAATTTAAAATATTTACACTAGAATCTTATGTTATACTTGATGAAAGTATAAATAAAATCATTAAATGTTAGTGAATTTATTGTTTTGATGGGATACACATTCTACGAAACAATTCAACCGTCAAACTTGTTTGTATATGCTTTAAGATCGCATATGCCAAAAATTGCAAAAAACAAACATTCAGAGATCATGTAACGGGACAAAACTTTTCGACGGTTATAAACGAAAAATCACGTTTTAACTGTTATTTTAACTCCGATTTTGATATTTTTTACAGCTATACTCCTTGACCCTATATAAATACAATGAATGAATTCGATCTTCAATTTAAAATATTTACACTAGTGGATACCACAAAATCTTATGTTATACTTGATGAAAGTATGAATAAAATCTTTAAATGTTAATGAATCTATTGTTTTGATGGGATACATATTCTTCGAAACTAATTTCGACGGTCCAAACGTCAAACATGTTTGTATATACTTCGAGATTGTATATGCCAAAAATTGCAAAAAAAAAAAACATTCAGAAATCAAGTAACGAGACAAAACTTTTCGATGGTTATAAACGAAAAATCACGATTTAACGGTTATTTTAACTCCGATTTTGATAATTTTTTACAGCTACACTCCTTGACCCTATATGAATACAATGAATGAATTCGATCTTCAATTTAAAATATTTACACTAGTGGATACCACAAAATCTTATGTTATACTTGATGAAAGTATGAATAAAATCTTTAAATGTTAGTGAATCTATTGTTTTGATGGGATACGCATTCTACAAAACTAGTTTCGACGATCCAACCGTCAAACATGTTTGCATATACTTCGAGATTGTATATGCCAAAAATTGCAAAAAAAAATAAACATTCAGAGATCAAGTAACGCGACAAAACTTTACGACGGTTAAAAAAGAAAAATCACGATTTAACGGTTATTTTAACTCCGATTTTGATAATTTTTTACAGCTACACTCCTTGACCCTATATGAATACAATGAATGAATTCGATCTTCAATTTAAAATATTTACACTTGTGGATAAAATATTAATAAACTCTTTAAGTGTTAGTGAATATATTGTTTTGATGAGATACGCATTTTGCGAAACTAATTTCAACGATCCAACCGTCAAACTTGTTTGTATATGCTTCGAGATCACATATGCCAAAAATTGCAAAAAAAAACAAACATTCAGAGATCAAGTAACGAGACAAAACTTTTCGACGGTTATAAACGAAAAATCACGATTTAACGGTTATTTTAACTCCGATTTTGATGATTTTTTACAGCTACACTCCTTGACCCTATATAAATACAGTGAATGAATTCGATTTTCAATTTAAAATATTTACACTAGTGGATACCACAAAATCTTATGTTATACTTGATGAATGTGTGAATAAAATCTTTAAGTGTTGGTGAATCTATTGTTTTGATGGGATACGCATTCTACGAAACTAGTTTCGACGATCCAACTGTCAAACATGTTTGTATATACTTCGAGATTGCATATGCCAAACATTGCAAAAAACAAACATTCAGATATCAAGTAACGAGTCAAAACTTTTCGATGGTTATAAACGAAAAATCACGATTTAACGGTTATTTTAACTCTGATTTTGATGATTTTTTATAGCTACACTCCTTGACCCTATATGAATACAATGAATGAATTCGATCTTCAATTTAAAATATTTACATTAGTGGATACCACAAAATCTTATGTTATACTTAATGAAAGTAAGAATAAACTCTTAAGTGTTAGTGAATCTATTGTTTTGATGAGATACGCATTCTACGAAACTAGTTTCAACGATCTAACCGTCATACTTGTTTGTACGCCAAAAAATTGCAAAAAACAAACATTTAAAGATTAAGTAACGGGACAAAACTTTTCGACGGTTATAAACGAAAAATCACAATTTAACGGTTATTTTAACTCCGATTTTGATGATTTTTTACAACTACACTCCTTGACCCTATATGAATACAATGAATGAATTCGATCTTCAATTTAAAATATTTACACTAGTGGATACCACACAATCTTATGTTATACTTGATGAAAGTATGAATAAAATCTTTAAATGTTAGTAAATCTATTGTTTTGATGGGATACGCATTCTACGAAACTAGTTTCGACGATCCAACTGTCAAACATGTTTGTATATACTTCGAGATTGTATATGCCAAAAATTTGCAAAAAATAAACATTCAGAGATCAAGTAACGCGACAAAACTTTTCGACGATTAAAAACGAAAAATCACGATTTAACGGTTATTTTAACTCTGATTTTGATAATTTTTTACAGCTATACTCCTTGACCCTATATGAATACAATGAATGAATTCAATCTTCAATTTAAAATATTTACACTTGTGGATATCACAAAATCTTATGTTATACTTAATGAAAATATTAATAAACTCTTTAAGTGTTAGTGAATATATTGTTTTGATGAGATACGCATTTTGCGAAACTAATTTCAACGATCCAACCGTCAAACTTGTTTGTATATGCTTCGAGATCGCATATGCCAAAAATTGCAAAAAACAAACATTCAGAGATCAAGTAACGAGACAAAACTTTTCGACGGTTATTAACGAAAAATCATGATTTAACTGTTATTTTAACTCCGATTTTGATGATTTTTTACAGCTACACTCCTTGACCCTATATAAATACAGTGAATGAATTTGATTTTCAATGTAAAATATTTACACTAGTGGATGCCACAAAATCTTATGTTATACTTAATGAATGTGTGAATAAAATCTTTAAGTGTTAGTGAATCTATTGTTTTGATGGGATACGCATTCTACGAAACTAGTTTCGACGATCCAACCGTCAAACATGTTTGTATATACTTCGAGATTGCATATGCCAAACATTGCAAAAAACAAACATTCAGAGATTAAGTAACGAGACAAAACTTTTCGACGGTTATAAATGAAAAATCACGATTTAACGGTTATTTTAACTCTGATTTTGATGATTTTTTTACAGCTACACTCCTTGACCCTATATGAATACAATGAATGAATTCGATCTTCAATTTAAAATATTTACATTAGTGGATACCACAAAATCTTATGTTATACTTAATGAAAGTAAGAATAAACTCTTAAGTGTTAGTGAATCTATTGTTTTGATGAGATACGCATTCTACGAAACTAGTTTCAACGATCTAACCGTCATACTTGTTTGTACGCCAAAAAATGGCAAAAAACAAACATTTAAAGATTAAGTAACGGGACAAAACTTTTCGACGGTTATAAACGAAAAATCACAATTTAACTGTTATTTTAACTCCGATTTTGATGATTTTTTACAACTACAGTCCTTGACCCTATATGAATACAATGAATGAATTCGATCTTCAATTTAAAATATTTACACTAGTGGATACCACAAAATCTTATGTTATACTTAATGAAAGTACGAATAAACACTCTAGTGGGTCACTTTCATTAAGTTTTGAGTTCCATTGGCAAGGTTTAAACTTTTGAGAAAGGCTTGACAACCTTGAAAACAAAAACGGTTTCATTTGTCATATCGTTGCACATTTAATATTTGTAATAGATTAATAGTGTATGGATGTATTTTTTTTGAGGCTCTTATTTTCGAGTGTAGATGTAGTCCTTAAACGACAAATGTGTTTTAACGTTTTGAAGTATTATTTATGTGACAATGTGTGGTATGTGCAAATTTAAGAAATTTTTTTTTCTTAACGGGTCATAACGGGTCGGGTCACTTTACCTGT